CGCCATGCATGAAAGGGTTAAGCTTTTTTGGAAACTCTGCTTAAAAGTTTGCTGTGTGCCAAAAAAAAGAAAAAAAAAAGACACAATTAAATTTGTGTATTCCGTTTTTTTCATTTAGAATTAATTGAAGTTGCTTGGTTGTGCAATTACTCCATGGTGGAAAAATTAACCCTTCAAATAAATAATTAAGAGCTTGAAACCGATATGAGCTTCCACCTCACTCCTGGCACTGTATTTTGCACTCTCTGCTAAATTCATGCTCTTTTTTTTTCTTTTTTTTTTCAGGAGGAACATTAAGTGTTTTCAAAGTTTTATAGTCGATGACTGACGGATCATTCCGGGAAGCATCATCTAATTTTGAAACCGCTGTTTTCTTCCCAGCATGGGATGTTTGCAGGATCGCTACAAGTTCTAAAAGGGCAACTCAATTTATTCGCAAAGCACAGAACAATCAAGATTTTTATTGGATTTCTAAATTCCACTTGATGGCGTTTTGCCTTCTTGGGAAATGAGCATCGCCCTGATCTCTTTGGAGAGGGAGCTGAGACTCGCTAATGAAATAACTCCTCCTTCAAGATAACAACGCAGCACTTAGAAATCATGCTCTTAAATTAGCTCTGTGTTTTTTCAGATCCTGTGATGTGTTACGGTGAGACAATGCTTGCCGTGTGATACTGTAATTATCTCTCGATATCGGGAGCACAAGTGCCAAAGCCTTGTCCTGCAGCCGCTCGCTGATCCGCTCGTGTGCATCCATCTTAGTATATTACTTTCCAGAAAGGGAGGCCGCGGGCGTTATTGTGGCTGTAATTTGTGGAGTTGCAGAAATGAGAAACACAGAGAGAGGGAGAGAGAGAGAGAGGGAAAGAGTAATCTGCACAAAGTATATTCGTGTACTCTTGCAGAGTCGGGGTGAGGGAGGTTCCACTGATGCTCGCTCTCAAATTTGCCTCTGACTTCACCCAAAAGCTGAGTCATGTTGCCTCCAAACAAAGTCTGGAAGGGACCAGCGGGTGCACGTTCTGTCACAGAGACGAAACAAAACAAGAAAAAAAAAGCAACATAATGCCGTGGAGCTAATGTCTCCTCCTGGCTCCATGATAAAGCAGTGATTTCCGCTTGCATCTCAGCTGTCCTAAAGCAGGGGTGAGCCTGTCAGTGAGCCTGTGGCTCCCGATGCATCTTCAAAGATAAGCATCTCAGTTACATCTTTCTAATAGCACTTGTTCCCTCATTATGCACTGATGAGATTTGTGAGGCAAATCATTACCAGGGTACTTGACAGAGAACATGTTATAGTGCTGCAAAGGTTTTTTTTTTTTGGTTTTTTTTTGTCTGCTGATCTGGTTATTTGCAGACAGAGTGCCTTCCAAAAGTATTCACACCACCTTCAACTGTTTCACATTTTGTCAAGTCTTAAGAGTAAGCTTTGATATTATTGCAATTTTATGTAAAATGTTACAAAAAAAAAACAACAAAAAAACGTGTTACTAATAAAAATGTGAAAAGTGTGGCATGCAATTTTAATCAGCCATCCTCAGATTTTACTGCAATTGCAGCTGCAGGTATTTTTTTTGTGGCGTGTTGCATCTAAAAGTTGCAGGGATACATAAACTGTTTTCACGTTTAGAAGGTTTTTTTTCTTTTGTTTTTGTTTGTTTTTCCACATTTCCAGTTGATGGATTAGAGAGCAGCTGTGTTAAACTGAGAGTAAATTACAAACAGGTGGACTCAGTTTAGTCAACTGATGACAGGTGAATAATTTAGGTCTATCTGAGTAAAGGGGGCTGAATGCATAAAGTTTGCAGCACTATGCAGTGTTATTGTTTTCATTGTATGTCAGTATTAATGATAGTCAAAAAGGTAATACTAGTTGAAGAGGTTTGCATAGGGCTGACATGATAAACATGACATATCCCCTGTCATGAATGTGAAGGCGCATTCATGAATGTTTACGATTATTGCCACGAAGCGTCATTCGGCAAATTATGACACTTTTAATGCAAATTTGACTCTTTTGCTTGATTTTTAATGAAAGTTGTAATGCAACTTTGCATAAAAATGTGATTATTTCACCAGTAATGTTAAATAATGCACGTTTAATGCAACTTTTAATGCAAATTTGCATAGACATTCATGTAGACTCCTTCATGTTCATGACAGGTGTTATGCCGGTCTTATGTACACCCCTTTAACTAAAGTGTTACGGCAAAAAAAAAAAAAAAAAAAAAAAAACTAGTTAATTTGAATTACTTACACTTAAATAATGTGACTCTCCTTCAGAGAATGAACCGCTTTCCATGCATCTTTGTGTTTTGGAGCGTTGTACAAATCAAATTGCTGACCTCTCTGAGGGACTGACGTGTGCAGATGTTTCTCTCCACCTTCAGATGGCCTCAGCGATGTAGAATATCTGGTCAGTCTAAACATCCAGAATGCACTCGCATAAAAACACAAGAGTTTAGGATCTTTTAGAAGAAGAAGAAGAAGAAGAAAAAAAGAACACAAGTAGAGCCCTAAAAATAGGTCCGTTGCCGACCTGGCGTGACGGACATTGTTGGCTTTAATCTCCCCTCCCGCTGGGTTCATCCAGAAAGGTCATTTGCTCCTTCGGGCCACGTTGTCGTCTAGATTCTGTCATGTTACGGCTGAATGAAGCTGCCTTCTACGACAGAATAAAATGTTTCGCGGGTCTTCATGCAGGTGTACGGGTGAAACCTCCAGGGTTCTTCCTTTTGGCCTGGCTGATCCCACCCTACAGAACCAAAGTGTGAGTCACCTATTTCGACATCTACAGCATGGAAGTACAGATACACTCCTCAGTCGTAAATCTCTGACACAAAACCAGCCAAACAAATTGAAGTGTTTAAAGTTAAGGGGCCGCAGAGCCTCATTAAATGCCGTTTTAGCTGCCAGCGCTCCGTTTCCAAGACTAGGCTACACTTTTGGGTTTTTCACGGTACTCAGCGCGTTTTATGAGGGTTCGTAGCGCAGCAGCAGGTTCCGCACTAACTTATTTCTGTTTTACTGCGCCTGCAGAGCACGGCTGCGGCAGCCAGTTTCACTGCTCTTATAAATGTCTTCAAATAGACGGCAGGTGATTGCTTTGCTCGTAAAGGTTGTATTTCACCTGTTAAATTAAGTGTCTTGACGTACAACGAAATTCACATGATGGTGTTTGAGTACATGATTTCTTTTTAATTAGTGGTTAAATAAATAAATAAATAAATAAATAAATAAATAAATAAATAAATAAATAAATAAATAAAGGCATGTTGGAAGTTGAAATTGATTCAAGTCGGGGTTCTTCTTAACTGAGTTTATGTTGCTGGAAGTTGGAAACCTCCTGGCTTTTTCTGTACGATCTTTGAAAGAGCGTTCACGTCAGGCATGTTTGTAAAAGTCTCATACAGCAGATACAGTGAAGTGGCTCTTTGACCGGGGTTCAACTGTGCCCAGGGGCAGGAAGAGTGTCTTGGACAATAAAAATAAAAATAGAAATGATCTGAATACTGAATAATCTGGCTAGTCCACTCCACCATGACTGCGTGAGGAAAAGTGATTGTGAACAGTGGATGGACGGATGCTAGCTTCAAATACCCTCTAGAAAAATAGGTTTTCAGTAAGATTTGTCATCAAGAGCAGTTGTTGTGATACAGAGCAACTTCATAATAAGCTTTTACATTTCTTTTTTAGAGTGTGGTCTAAAAAAGAAGTCCTTTTTTTTTTTTGCTTTCTTGTTTTACATGGAACACTTAAAAGTATCAGTTCTGCAGTCCATGTTGACAGTATAACCACGTTTCTGCTTAAAGTCTCTCTACTTCGACAGTTCTGACTTATTCAGGTAAGCCAGCCACAGCTCCTAGCCTCCCCACCCAACAAAACTGCAATAAAACACTGCCTTTAAATCATGATATAAAACCGACGTCCTGGAAAAGAAAGACACATTTGTGTTTCGCCAGCTTTTCATTTCAGTTACTGTTGTAAGGACCGGATTAAAACACGAACCCTATTTCAGGTCTTCTCGAGACGTTATCTGTTCCCCGCCAACTAATAGCTGTGTTTTTTCAGCATTTATCTGTATGTGGCGGGTCTGAGTGAGTCGTACCACGTCAAATAAACCCTCACACTCCGAGCACTTCCCTTGTTCTGGCAGACAAGTCCCGGTCTCATAAAGCGTTGGCCGCAGCATGTCGCCCGGGGTTAGGAGGACCAAACGGAAAACCATGTCGAGCTCAAGAGGAGGAAATGTTTACTGTCAGTCAAATCTGTCGGAGGCACACACGAGCCAATGTCAGCTTACCAGGCTTCAATCAAGCCCCAGCAAAGAGCAGCCAGTGTCACTACACACACACCTCAGTGCGTCTGCTGATGTGGAAGATTAACATCAGCGCCGGCCACGCACGCACCTACGTACGCACGTACTCAAACAGTGGGAAAGAGGAGATGCCAAGACTTTCAAATGTTTCACTTTATTTTGGGTGATTTTTTTAATTTTTTTTTTTTTTAGTTGTTTGCACATTATCAGTGTGTTAACCGCTGTGTAGATAAACTAATAACTTGGCGAACAAAACATTTTTGAAATGTGTTTTGTTATTCTTTGGCCAGAGGTGGGGGAAAAAAGAAGAAGGAAAAAAGAAAAAAGGTCACTTTTTATTTTTTTTTTCAATTTACATCTAAAGGTACAACGGAGTGCCACCTGCGCAAGACAGATATGTAACTGCACGACTTTTCCACCAAGTCAATTGTGGGGATGATTAAAATGTGGAAATAACACTGGCTCACATCCAAACGGGACTGCAACGGAGGATTCAGTTTGTTAGTCCTCTGTCTGCAGTTTCCTGTGGGGAAATCCTTTAAAAATTCGTCGGCTTAAAGTTGGGCAACAACGAGCTCATCCGACAGTCAGAGTATAATCCTGATTCCCAGGGTACACACCTAAATCCTCATGATTAACAACATCAAGATCAAAATGGAGCAAATCCTGAATGTCAGGTGAAAAAGGGGTATTTCAAAGAAAAGGATGACGGTTTTCTTCCTCATCCTCATCCATTCCTCAAAGCAAAGGATGGAACAAGGAAAAAGTGACACCTTTTCAGAAATAAATAAGTAAAGTTTACACATAGCAAGACGCCGGTGGAGATATTTTCTGACTAACTAGGCGCCTCCGTGTGAAAACGTTGAGGATGTTGTGTCATGATCTGTGTTTCTGTGTTTATTTTTGAGTTCTTCTGTGTTCAGTCCTGTTTTCCCTGTGTAGTCCTGTTCCCTGTGAGTCTGTCCTCCCTGTTGATTGCTCCCCAGGTGTGTCGTATCCCCCTGATTACCCTGTGTGTATTTAGCCCCACCTGTTGTCTGTGTTCCTTGTCAGATCCTCGTCATTTGTAACTGTTTCCCTGTGCCATCAGTCTACGTCTGTTTATGGGTCATACGCAGTTGAACTGTGAAGTCCTGCATCGACCTAACCTCGTTTACATCTCTGTTATCCAGTTGCTACCGGTATTAGCTGCGTGCTAACTTTCTTCCGTGCTGCCTGTTCAAGACTGTGAGCTACATTATTAAATTCATCATTCTCATTTTACCTGGGTCTACCTGCGTTTCCTCACCAACTCAACCACATCGTTTATGACATGTTGCGCAACACAACATGAAGCTGGTGAAAAAAAATCAAATGAGTTTAGAAATTGTAGAAGTTAGAAATGTTAAGAATAGAGTGAAGAAATAAATGGTAAAGTATTTTTTACGTAAAATATAAAATAATAAAAAAAAAATGTCTGACATAAAAGAATTATGTTTCATCCGGTAACTTGCAACATCCCCAGCTACGCTGATCAATCCCCATTCAGTTCTGAATCAATATGAATTCGATTTGATGGATCACATGGGTGATTTTAAGTATCCCGCCCCTGACGTTTATTTAAATGGAGCGGCATCCATCCAGGGAGCGGATGCCTTTTCTCTGACGTGACTTCATCATTTGTGATACCAGAACGAGCAAACGGGTTTGAAATGAAGTATTTTACATTGGGATTGAGGTTCCGATGTTTCAGTACCTGTAAAAGTGTTAATATTGGGTGCAGTGGAATTAGAACGGACTCCAGCCCTGCTGGGTTTTGTTGCTATTTCAAGCATCAATAACTTCCTCATTAGCATGTCTTTAACATTTTTTTTCACCCCTCTCTTAACACAAAAACCATATGTTACACATTTACATAAAAAAAACTACGTCATCATACTTTGTGGCAAGTTAAAAAAAAATAAAAAAAAGATTCTGACATTGTGCTAGCTTCATGTTTAGGCATGAGATTTAGCTGGATCTCTTCCAGGCTCAATAAAAAAAAAAAAATTATGGATATTTAATCCATAATAGATTATTTAAAACCACTCTATGAAAATGAGGGCTGAACTGCTATTAAAATAAATGTTAATGCTAACCTCTGAAAACTAGGGTAGGAGGGCCCAGAGATTTGACACATTGTTATTGCCTGCACCATTATTAAACAGCAATACAGCACCTTTATACGACACATTTTCATTACTGCCTCCGTGACACACATGGGAGGATGTGTAATTGGCATCCAAAGGAAAGTTGTCACAGTTTGAGTTTCTCACAGGTCCTTTTAAAACCCTCATTTTGCTTCCTTCTGACTCAGTAAAGCGTCCCCCCCCCCGATCAGGACATTTTGCTCCAAGTAATGAGAAACGCTGAAGGTCAAGAGGAGCATTCTGGGTCTTGCGATCACCATGTAATTTGATAGAACTGTGTGTGAAATGTTGCTCAGTAAGTTAATCATGAGTGTGTGCAGAAAAAAGACACACCTGCGCTAATATTGTAGTACTTTTTATATGTATGTATGTATTAAACCACAATAGGAAAAAATATACCATGTGACAAATGTTCTTTTTACACAATGTGTTTTCTACAGTATGAACAATGGAACAAAAGTTGACCCTTAAAAAGGGGATATGTGTAAATGTGTCATTTACAGTTTTCATTATACAGTAAAGCTGCTTAGTTATGCTGGAAACTAATAAAGAGAGGCCAAAACAATCCGTGGCTATTCTAAATTTAACTGTGCATTTTAAGCCGTGGGTCGTTCAATAAATTATTGGTTCACAAAGTTCTCTTTGCAAACGGTGCGAATTGCCTCTAACAAAATCATGTCTCACCACCGGGGTGCAAGAATTCATTGATCCTCTACTGCTTTTCTTAAGCTCTATGGATCATCTGACTTCCTCCACTCTGATACAGAAGAGCTCTGGTCCTGGTTCCGTTCTTCCTGTCAAACCATCCTGGACTCGGTTGCTCCGTTAAAAACCAGGCAGCCAAAGATTAAACCTGAGCCTTGGTTTAATGACAGAACTCGTGCTGCAAGGAAGGAATGTCGCCGTGTTGAACGCAGGTGGAAAAAGGATAAATTGCAGGTTACTTTTCAAATTTTAAAAGACTGTTGGCGTCTCTACCAGAGCACAGTTAAAGAGGCAAAAAGGGAATATTTGGCAAATATCATTTTCTCAAACAGCCATAACCCACGTGTTTTATTTAACACCATTGACTTTGTGCTTAATATCCTACAGAATGCCTGTTTGGAAGCTTCTCCTGACGTGTGTGATGATTTTCTGTGCTTCTTTATTGAAAAGGTTGGTAGTACCAGGGCTCTTATCACAGCTTCCTGACTCTGACCCCTCTGTTTGGGTCCCTTGCTCGGCTGCTTTCACTCAGTTTGAGCCTGTGACTGTCTCACTTTTAGAGGACGTGGTTGGCCATATTAAACCATCAGGTTCCCCCCGTGATCCTGTCCCTCCACGATTTTTTAAAGATATTTTATCTAGCATAGGGCAGCCTGTTCGTGCAATTATAAATAGCAGTCTTCTCCTCAGGTGTGGTCCCTGCTAGTTTTAAACATGCAGTTGTCCAGACACTGCTTAAAAAACCTGGCCTTGATCCTACTGTTCTGGCTAATTATCGGCCTATTTCGAAGCTGCCTTTTTCTTTCTAAGGTTTTAGAAAAAAAAACTTGTGTACTGTCAGCTGAAACAGTTTTTAGATGAAAATGGCATTCTGGAGGTTTTTCAGTCAGGTTTTAAAACTCTTCATAGCACAGAATCTGCTTTAATAAGAGTTTTTAATGACATCCTTCTTGCATGTGATTCTGGTAACCATGTTGTTCTGATTTTACTTGACCTAACTGCTGCCTTTGATACAGTAGACCACAACATTTTAATATCACGATTACAGCATATTGTAGGTATTCGTGGCAATGTTCTTAAATGGTTCAGGCCTTACCTGGAGGACAGAACATTTTCAGTGAATATTAGAGACTCTGACTCATCTGCTGCTTCAATGCCATATGGTGTCCCGCAGGGCTCAATTCTGGGCCCACTGCTTTTCTCTCTGTATTTACTGCCTCTGGGTTCCATCCTCAGGAAACATGGGATTTCATTTCATTGTTATGCTGATGATTGCCAGATTTATTTGCCCCTGAGCCAGAAGGATGTCCATTCCATCAAACATCTCCTGGCATGTCTAGGTGATATTAAAGCTTGGTTGGCCTTGAACTTTATAAATTTTAATAAAAACAAAACAGAGGTGATGGTGTTTGGACCCAGTGGCTCCTGTGAGTCCTCCTCTGTTGACCTGGGACCTTTGGAGGAATATTTTAAACCTGTTATTACAGATCTTGGTTTTAAGGTGGACAGTGATCTCAGATTGGACGGCCAAATCAGAGCCGTGGTTAAGTCCAGTTTTTATCATTCAAGGCAATTGGCGTCAGTGAAATCTTTTCTTTCCAGGCAGCATTTTGAAACGGTGATCCACGCTTTTATTTTGACTCGATTGGATTACTGTAACTCACTTTATCTGGGAGTCAGTCAGTCGCTGCTCTCAGGTCTGCAGCTGGTTCAGATGCTGCTGCACCACTTAGGACAGTAACTCGACAGGGAGCAGGTGACCCCTGGCCCCTGTCCTGGCCTCACTTCACTGGCTGCCTGTATATTTTAGGATTCATTTTAAAATTCTTATGTTTGTTTTTAAATCACTGCATAATGTTGCCCCGGCTTACCTCTCTGAGCTTCTTCACCCCTATATGCTCTATCGGTCTCTCAGGTCCGCAGATCAGCTGCTCTTGGAGGAACCGAGATCCAGAGGGGACAGAGCTTTCTCTGTCATGGGCCCCAAGTTATGGAACGACTTGCCTTTGCAGGTCAGAGAGGCCCCTTCACTGTCCACTTTCAAAGCTCGTCTTAAAACCAATCTATTTTACTTGGCTTTCAACTCCAGCGGGATCTAGTTTTAAATTGTATGTTTGTTTTTAAACTGTAAGAGTTTTTATTTATTTATTTTTATTATTGTTGTGTTTTAATGTACAGCACTTTGTATCAGCTGTGGTTGTTTTAAAGTGCTTTATAAATAAGGTTGGTATGGTATGGATTCATCCGTTTTAGAAGACAAGCTTATTTTCCGTCGGTTTTTGCAGCCACAATGTGAGGTAAGGATTTTCCTCCTTGGTTTTTCTGTTTATATAAAAAGCAAACAAACACAGAGTTTCCAGTGTTTGCTTCAAATTTAGACTCACGTTTGTCTCGATTGGCCATCTGTTGGTATCAGATAAAAAAATAAATAAATAAAAATAACCAGCTGATCACAGAAGTAATCTTGTTAAACTTTGGGTAAATGTTTAGCACATACTTATTCAGCACATCACTCAGGGTTTGTCTATTTAAAGGATTTGCAAAAAAGTTGCACACATGGAAACTAATAGCCATGTGTGGCCTAACTTGAGTTTTGTAGGGACGGCACCTTAGGTATATGATTATTGAAATAGATAACACTTGTTTGCAGTTTGGCTAAACCAGTTATTTAGAAGATGCAGCTCACGATACCATGAACTTGTCATTAAAAACAAATTACTGCAGCTCCTGCTGCTGCTGCTGGTATCTCACCAGGATATATCAATCCTGGGTCAACATCCCCAGGGAAACGGTTGATACCCAAAACAATTTTGTAGCACATATCTGTAGTAAAAGCAAGTGGAAATCAGGTGGGGACTCCTGCATCCCACTGGCCATTTCAGAAGACAGTTACCATGGAGACTTCAGATGCAGGTTAGTACAGAGTAAGAGTTACAGTCATTTCTTTGGTAAGTTGTTCTGCTTCTTACACTTCAGGTGACGTTTCCTACCCGAAAGAAGATGTTGCTTTGTTATTATTCCCTGGAATAAAGAAACATAGTTTCATTTCATAATTTTTTTTTAAAGAAAATGCCGAAATACATTAATTGCTGCAAGGGAGTTCTTTTTCAATATTTGATATGGTGGCATAAGAGCAGGGACAGAAAAACAATACAGGACAAACTAAAATGAGCTTTGGAGGAATTACGTTGTACTGAATTCTTGTATTTTTTCTTGTTGCCGTTTGTTGATTTGCTGCTGTTGTTTTCATTCCAAAATGAATTTAGTAAAGATAGGTTCAAAGGTTTAACTTATTGCATTGGAATTTGGTTTGCGATTGTCTGCTCCTTCCTTCTTCACTCTGCTTGTGCCTTCGCTGGCGGATGAAAGCGTGAGGCGAAAGTCGTGAAATTGTTTCGTTGTAATCAATAACTGTTTGCTGCTTAATGTGATAGGTGGTTAATGTGATTGGCTCGCTCGTGTACGAACGCGAGCGCCAGTCAAACGGTTTCAGTGGAAGGAAGTTGTTTGTGTGGGGAGTGTAAAATCGTGTTGGACACACTGCAGCAGCAGCTGTGTATGTCTGTCGGTCTGATACGTTTGGCTGAATAATGTCAATATCACTTATAGGAACCTCTGATGGCCGCAGCTTCATTTTAGTGACATTTAAAATTTTTCTCAAGTTTCCCCTCCAATGGCAGATGACATTTTTGGTTTGGAGTAAAATGTCTTGACACTTTTTTGGAGATGCCGCCTTAAATGCTACTAAAGCCATTTGGCTCCGTTCCCTTGTTGGCCTGGCTGAGAAGAGAGTTCATTGCTTAAAGAGAGACCCGGTGACATCTTCGACATTTTTTTTTTTTTTTTGCTTCCATTCTTGGGTCGGCTAGACGACTCCGATGGTGACAAACGGATTTTCTCCGCGCCTTCAAAAATGTCAATTTTGATCCCTTTAAAATTACAATAGAGGGAATCAGTATAGCCTCCTTTCCTATTTATATGTTAAAAAAAACTATTTACCAACATGGATTCTATTGCTTTTCCAGGAGTTTAATTGCCATGAGAAGTCAAGGAGACAAATCACAATATGTCACAAATTTAGTCAAACTGTACAGTTATGCTATACTAAAATGTATTTACATGTCTTTACTGACTAAAATAAAACTAAACTAAACTGAAACTGTACCAACATGTGTGCTGACAGGAGTAAAAGGAGTCTGAAGTCATTTTGCAATCTTTTTAGTGCCATTTGTGGGATTTTATTAGACTTTCACGAAAGCTTGCATGTAAAGGCGCCTGCTTGTCTGACTGCCATCTTTTCAGAATCACAATCATTTGCTGTCTTTGCGTAATAAAATGCAACGAAATTTGAAAACTTTCCATCACTCAAAACCGATAGAACGCAAAAGAGGCAGAATGTTAGAAAACGAGTTAAAGAAAACACTATCAAGGGTGATTTATGCAAATAAAGTGCCTAATTTGCTGTGCATTTTTTTTTTTACTTTATTTCCTGCTGTCTAAATGACAGTCGTTTCTGCTTGAACCTCCACATGCCACACTGAGATGTAGCAAATGAAAATGCTCTCCGTATCTATTCGGTTTACTTTGATAACTGCTTTAGTATTTAGTTACTGGGAGAAGTCCTCTGATGCGTAATAAAGGATTGTCCACACTCTGACCGCTGACGGGCCACGTCCTCCTGAAGTCCAGAAACGTCGCCTTTGTCTCTGCCTTTCTCAATAGCTAAGTACTAGCCAGACACCACAGACAGTCGCTGACTGTCATCCCTCTGTGCTGCTCCTCGATGCCTTTGGAGACGAGACGGCGATGGTTGTTTCATCTGTGAATCTAGTGATGGAGCTGGCTGAGTGCGCCGAGAGGCAGCCATGAGAACACGAAGAGCAGAGAGCTCAGCACACAGCCCTGAGGGAAGCCAGCAGTGAGTTACTACAAAAGGAAACAGGGTCTGTGTTTTTTTTTTTTCTGTTTTCAAATGCTACAATATTATAGTTGTGACAAGAAAATAAAAAGCATCCAAATGCCTTCAAAGTTTTCCTTACAAACCTTTTACACCCCGTTCCCTTTCACATCCACAAAATTTTAGTGTTTTTGACATTTTATGTGGCAAACCTTCACAGTGGAGTGGCTAAAGGTTTTACACCTGGGTTCAGTCACGCAGAAATGCAATCGGATGCGTGTACGTTCCTTCCACACTAATGAGAATCCGGCGTGACTGACTTCAGGTGGACGATCTTTATTACATGATGTGAACTTGAGAGTGATTTAATGTTAAAATAAACAAAGTTGTTCTGTGAAGGTCTCTGAACACGTTTTACCCCAAAGAGAAGCTTTTCTTCAGCATGAACAGATTGTGACCAGCACTGATTGGAGAAAGTGGGAAACAGCATATTATTATTATTATTATTATTATTGTTTTTGGTCTCCTTCACATTTATATGCACAATTTTCTGTTTGTCACATAATGTTCTCATAATTGCCGCTTTTTATTGTTTAAAAAAACTGAAATAAATTAGCAGATGTCGTTTTGTTTTAAAAAAAAAAACAAAACAAAAAAAAACAACAGTGGGCTCTTACACTGCCTGTTTTTTTTCCCCCTCTTTTTTTTCATTTAACTTTTCTTGGACGGTCCAAATAACGTCTCTCAGATGTATAGAAATGGAGAAAGTCAGACATCAGACAGTGATTTTTGAAGCAAAGATCAGTCAAATTATTTCCAGTAACAAGATAAAGAATTGCTCCCCAGTGGTCCAGCAGGAAGAGGTTTATTGAGATAAGACAACACTTTATCTACTTTAAATAAAATGTAAAACCCCTGGGATGGAATCAGGAGGTCAGGAGTTGAGATTGTAAAACAAAGATATACGTGGAAAACTACTTTCAGCGACGAGCGAGCTAATTGATCTGAAACCCAGACGATGCAAAATATCAGATCCGGGGCACGAGCCGTACGAAAAGCAAGCCTTTTGTTACGACTGAAATGTCAACGACAAGATGTCCCTTTATCTCAAGCTGTGTGAAAACTGGTAGTTCCCATCAAAATCCAGAGGAGAGAAATCAATTCACATTCACTAGAGAGGGGGGTATCGACCAGCTGCAGCTTGTCAGGAGGAGGTGAGCCGGAATAAAAAGCTCCATTCCCATGTTTAACAGATTGTATAAATACATGCTTTGTTTTGACAAATTTATATATATATATATATATATATATATATATATATATATATATATATACACACACATTGAGGTGCAGGTGGAAAGAGAAAAATGATTAATTCTTTCTTCTGTGGTCCAATGACAACAAACAAAAATTTGACTGTTTTTCCACTGAATAAAAATGTTCTGTTTTACATGGGATTGTATACAAAAGACCCAGAAAAAGCAGTATATAATTGCAAAGAGGAAAAATGTACACGCCCACTTCTGCTTCTCCCAAATTTATTAAAATTCCACTTAACCCCCCCCTTTTTTTTTTTTTTTAATCCAGATCCAAATCTGCTCAATCTATGAAACTTCCTGCGGTCGTCAGGGGAACTTTCCCCCCCGAGTGAAGTTCCCCCGCGTCCTTCTCGTTTTGGCTGTAACGCATGGCCGCGACGTTTCCGGGGACGACTTCCTGCCCCGTTCTTGTTTACAAACACGCTAAACATTTGTTCCCAGCCAGGCACAGTTAGTCGAGCAATAAATTAGCAGCAAGCGGTGGGACAAGGTTCTCCGAGGAGATTCATTAACGCTTACACAGCAGGCTTAGCTGCTTTTATCCGCTTGCCAGTCAAAAAGATTAGAAAACACTGCCTCTGTTGGAAATGACCCCAAAAGAAGACGACTTCAAATAATCACCAAAGGGTTTG